AACCTTTCTCCTCAAATTAACGCGGATGAAACCGCAGCGGACCTTTAGTTGTGACAGAACTGTAATAGTTAGACATATGGTATCACTGACTTTATTGTAGATATTGATGTCTTCTAATCCCCTCATTCGTTTAAATAGAGGATTTCTGCTCACGTTAAAAGAACCCCTGTCTGTGGCATTGGTGGATTTTTGCCACGCATACACGGTACAATATTTAGATAAAGAATAGATAAATAGAAATAGATGCAGAAACTATTTATGATTGATTTAAAGACATACGTAAAGACAACAGGTTCACTAGAACTCGAAATATAAGAACCAAAAGAGTTTGATGACAGCTAATTTCTAACACAGAGGGGATAAAACTTCAGTATACTCGTATCACTTTGCCCTATTGTCAATCACTTGGTATTTTTTTTGGAAATACTCAATAGCCTATGTTCATTAGGGATAATGTAGGATTGTAACTGTGAAAGATTTTTTTAAATCGGTCCAGTAGTTTGGGAGCCTATTCAATACCAATAAAGAAACAATCAAATCTTTCCTCGCTATATTAGTATAGATCTCTTTCAATAATATTAGTTTCCATAAGTAACCCTAACACAAGTGTAAGAGTGATTAAAAGCACAAAAGTCTACAAATCGCTTACAAATAATATAATCGATTCTACATTAAGTTTCTAGCAATTTGCACTTGGCTAGTCGTGCCTGAGCCGTCGTGACTGCACCAGGGAAAAATATTGCGAAACCGAGCTTACACTACGCTTATTTGGTAGCTCACGAGCTGTGAATAACTGTTATCGTAATAGGCTAACATTTGTACTCCTGGGAAGTGCGAAGTATCCGCCAGCGGAATAGGTATCTGCGTATATTTGCATGTTCAACTCGTGAGTTTAGAAATGGGACTAAACTGGTCCTGTTGGGTATTGTGATTTCAGTCTTTATTGATGTGTTTGGAGGTTTGATTTTTATTAACACATATAATTAAATATCATGGATCAACCATATTATTAGTTATAGGACTTAGTACTAGATAAGGTATATAAAGTAATTATCAAAATAATCAATTCATAACATCGTACAAAGAAATAATAAACATTTGAATTACAGAATTATTATATTATTTCACTATTTATATTATCACGACAATATCGGCGAAAATACACAAAAAAAAACACCGACATAAACCACTTACTTTTTTTACAGTCGGTAAAAAATAGCCCGTCCATTTAAAATAGAGAAAGAAATACCACAGATCCTATAAATAGAATATCAATATTAAAATAATTATACTAACTTAAGCAAACAGTTTTAACGTCTAATTTCCTAGTCTATAATTTATTTTTACTATCGATTAGACCTACTAATATTAATAAATAACTAGCTATTAATAATAAAGATTAATTTCGAAGTTTGCGTGACCTTTTATTGGTCCTTTAAAATGTTAATAACTTCCACGTAACATAACTCATAAACTGATGTAAATTGTTAGTGGCCGTTGTGTAAATTTTGTACCATTTGGCTTAGGGTTGTCATTCATTTGTTAAATAATTAATACTAATTTATGCAAACATGTTTAAAGTCTAGTTTTCTAGTCATTAATTTATTCGTTTTTTTTATTACTATCGATTAGACCTATTAATATTAATAAATAACTAACTATTACTAAATAGTAAATAATTAATATTAATTTGGAAGTTTGCGTGACCTTTTATTGGTCCTTTAAAATGTTAATAATTTCCACGAAACATAACTCATAAACTGATGGAAATTGTAATTTTTGTAAAAATACCTATGCTCTTCCATTTATTTAAATGAATGAATGAATTTTTATTTGCTTTAGTTGGGGTGGTAACATCATTGTACATGCTAAATTTTATTCAGACAGAGCGTACAGCTACCCTTTCCAGCTTGCCAAAATGGAACAGTTATATTGGAGCGCAGTTTTTATTATTTGATTCATATGTACATATTCTATTATTCTATTCGTATGAGAAAGCATTCGACTCAGTGTAAGCGTGGGCAGTGGAAAAAACCTTGACTGACAGAAGGGTCACTGAAAGGTACATTCAACTCATTAAGCGCCTTCAGCTATCCGGAACATCCTCTTGATATGCCCCTAAGTCCAAGTTAACAAATGCGTTTAGACTGCAGAGAGGAGTCAGCCAGGTTGACACTATATGTGGGTGGCCCGGTGACTCGGAATGGGTTTCTCGGGTATCACACTCACCCGTAGGTGCGCCGTGGGGGTTCTAGTGGTGAGGCCTCCGAGGACTCAACGAATGGACCTCCGTTAGATGAGTCCACGGAGGAGAGTCCCACATAGCCTTGCCGCTTGTCAGGTGGCGTCACGCATTTCACGAAAGATCCCATTCTCAGATATCATTTTCAGAAACATCTTTAAGCTATACTAGACATGGACAAACAAGTGAATAATAAATCGATGGAGAAAGGCTATACAACCTGCGATTTGCCGTAGAGCCGGATTTAGAGGTGTGGAGGCCCTGGGGTATAGAAGGATTGGAGGCCCCTAAATCTGGGCCGGGCCTGTTACGATTTTCGTAAAAGATGACATCCGGCAACAGGCTGAATTAACTGGGTGCAAGTGGCCGGGGATCTGTCCATGTCGGAGGAAGGTTGAAGAGGAGGCCTATGTTCGAAGATCAACCAAAAGGCTGCTATAGATAGATAGAATCGGTTGTGAAGAAAGTCTACTGATATCATGTAAATAAAATCTCAGATTCCTTCAAATGACAAATCCTTCATTGTGGGTTAACCTACAATGCGAAGAGATGGCGCTGCCTTGCAGCTTAAGGCTAGGAAAATTTCGACGCGGCAAATAGGGCCGTGGTAGCATAATGGTCAGTGCATTCGCCCGGATAGCGAACGATGCGGGTTCGACTCCCGTCCGCTGCCTGGCCCGCGTGGATTTTTTTTCTAGTAAACTTTTCTTTAGAATTAAACATCTAGCAGTTAAATGCTTAAAAATAAATAAAATCAAATCCTTCATTATCAACATCAGCTTGCCCTAATATTATTTCAGGACGCGCCCGGCCTCGTTGTTATATATCGAAACTCAAAATATATAGCACTTAATTGAAATTGAAATTTCCCGTAGCATTTCCCGTTAGGTACATAACTATTTGATTTCATTGCACATTAATGTTTATTAATTAGATACCTATCACATGAGTTATACAACAGAACAAAAATTTTCTTTCATCAGAGCCCATAATATAAGTTATTTTGAAATAACTAACCTAATTAGATAATAATTAGGTTAGTTAGCTAAGGCGTCTACATTTGCAGAAAAAAAACATCATCCACATATTGGATAGCTCAAACAAAATGTACACTTGTAAAAAAATATTTTTTATTTGTGATGATTTTGTATTACCTATGTATTTGTTTTATTAGGTTTTCACGCACATCGCTCATTAAATGAAACCTGCTTTTATGGGGTGAGATGTACTGCATTTAATTATTTATTGACGTGATTGAGGATAATAGTCAATAAATAAATTCAGTACAGAACCCGTTAAAAGCTTGTTTTCTATTATCTATTTATACTATATCTTTATCTATTTACATTATAAATCTGAAGAATTTATTTGGTTTGTTTGGTTGAACGCGCTAATCTCAGGAACTACTGGATTAGAATGATTATTTTTGATAGTATACATCGAGGTTATATACATCGTGAATTCTGAGTTACCTGAGAAACTTTAAAAGCTAATTCAGACAAGGATTTAGGTAATATTACTGCAAAAACATTTTTTTTTTCTTGTTGTTTGAAGTTTTTTTTTAAAATGTCTCCACGTAAACTCTCTAATTATTAGACCAATTATGAAATCTTACTGATTTTTTATTATTATTATAAATGGATATAAAGAAATCAGCTTTTAGGATCTCCGCACTTTAAACGGACAATAATTCTATAATAGGTATGTTATTTACATATATGCGTTGTTCTAGGATATTTTATAAACGACATAAATCAATATTTTTGTATGAAGGTGTAGTGCGTTTACTGTTTTAAACTATTCGAACTAGTTTAATTTACACGCTTCTAGTTTGGTAATAAGAAAGTCAGGTAATTGCCGTACCTGCATTTAGTCGGGCACGCTCTCTCGCCGCGGCTACACTTCGCAATAACGTGTAAACCTTCTACGTTTTTTAGACAAAAATAACTATGTGTGTTTTTAGATAGTACAAAAACTACACGGGAACTCTTAGACACAAGAAAAACGTGTCATTTCATTCGTAAGTACAGTATTAAAGAAATTAAAATAATAATATTTGGTGATTACTTATTTTGACAGTTGCTGACACCGTTAACACGTGAAGGCTAATGAGCGAGATGTATTTCTTTTTTGAATGAGAGTGAAAGAGACTACTTTAGTGCGCTCCATTGGCGGCTGTTACCAAGGGAAGTTAGGGTGGGGACTACTTGTGTATGTGTCATTTTAAAATGCAATAATGTCGGTGCATGACCTGTCTATAAATATTATACGTCATTGGCTACGACTAATAGTAGTGTAGTAGTAGTAGCGTGCGTAAACAGTAAACGTTACATAAAAATTAAAACCATATATAATGGAATTCTATCTATTCTATAATTCTATCTCGAGTTCCTCCGTGCCTCGGAAGGCACTTTAAGCCGTTGATCCCGGCTGCATCTGCAGTCGTTAGCACCCGCCAATCCGCACTGGGCCCGCGTGGTGGGTTATGGCCCAATCTCCTATTCCATCCATAGTTTCCTATGAATGGAATAGGAGGTGCCTGTGCCCATTTAATGCTCAAGCACATTAATAGGCTGATGATGATGACGGAATTGCTCCCCTTTAAAAGTTCTATAAAAAAGATCGCGGCGGCATATTTCTGTCTTGTACGATATCCGTGCCTGTGGGTACAAATTTTAATACTTTTTAAATATCTGGATGATATATTTTATGAAGTATAATATTTTATAATTAATTTCTATTTTTGTTATTGTTGCAGCCACCTTCGACCACATTGGCGTTAACAGACTTCAACTCTTGCTGTCTCTTGTTTCGTGTGCTTCAAGTGTATACTTAGCTTACCTTTTAGCATTTGTTCTCCATGATATTTGTTTAGTGTGTATATCAACATATTTTATCAATGGTTTACTACTTTGGCTTGTTTATAACAAAAACAAACAGTTAGTGGAGAAGAAAAAATAATGTATGAATAAAAAGTTGTATTATTACTTGATAATAAAGCTTATTTTGTGATAATAGCGCCATCTGTAGCACTGTAAGACAATTTTAGAAAAAGCAAGGTAACGCCATCTGTGTTCGTTATTTGCTTTTCGTTTATGTGGACATCGTGCTTTTTTTTCTAGGGCCCTCTAGCGTAGAGTAGATGTACTAGAACTTTATTGTTTATTGCATAGAGAGCGCTTTTATAACATAATATACATTTGAATTTAAAATAGAATGAAAAAATAAATATGCATTATTAAAAATTTATTGTACTCAATTGCCTACCCCACTAATATGATATTATAGACTGAGTTTGTATTTTAGACTTTAACGCCTGAAAAAGCTCATCTCACTGGCGCAGAGTCGAAGCGTCGCGACGCGTCATGGTTTTTTGTCTTGAGAATACTTTAACTGTGGGAAAATAGACATGAATTTGCTATAGATATAGACGTCGGCGAGCTTCGTCGCACGTCGTATTAGTGCGAATACCATAATAGTGGGAAAATAGAGATGAATATGCTACAAGCGAAACGCACCGTGTCGCTTCGACTCGGCGCCAGTGTCAGTTGATCCTAAACCACTCAATCGATTATGCCGAATTTCGGTCAAGATATAGAGATATGTGGGACCATGGAGACGGTTATACGCTGCTTGTCCGAAAATAAAACTTGAACAATGGGGGAAGAAATTTTGTACCGAAAATCAATTCAATCACCCAGACATAGTGTATAAATAAAGTTGACCAACATATTTATATTATTTGAATATATATAACTTATAATGCATGGTCTCGTCACCTTGTGAAAAATGCTATTGTCTCCTTAAGTTAAGGTGTAGTTGACATTTCCTTGTCAGGCCTTTGTCATTTGCTGTCTCAAACGTGATGTCCATATCTGCTGCTGCCATAACATGTACGCCAACGCACATCGCGGCAACGTCCTGCGATCCTTTTATGATTAGAGCTATGCTGCGATTATACGTACGCGGTACAGTTACCACGGAAGGCAGTTTAATTTTACGATTTTAAAATTTGCCGTTTTGCGTATTAAATTGTTTGTAAGCAAGGTCACTCCCTTGTTTAAGCAGTGAAGCGGTTATGGCGGTGGATGATAATGCTTAGTTTAATTGTTTAACTGTATTGTGAAGTCACAAATCCCGTTGTTCAATGGTGTAATCTACATGACAATCATTCTACCAACAGATATAAACATGAATTTTTCATAACTTATTTTTGTTACGCCATAATATTCCTTGCGGTGTTGTGTAATAATTGATATCAATTGCTGATAGGCCTTGCGGATGTTACGGACAGAATGGAGCACACACGAACCATGACCCCGGGACTAATATGGACTAGTGGATGCTAACGATTGCAAATACGGGAGGAACCAACGGCTGAACGTGATACCAGAATCGCGGAGAGCTCGAGATAATAAATTTTTGGTCCTCCATCCTAAGAACCTCAAATGCAAAATGTTTCTTAACTTTGACGACAGCAAATCGACGTGCACCACTGAGCTCCTAGAATAATATTTATCTATAAAGCTTATTACATTTACAACACCTGAGGTCGCTACATTCAGCATTAGTTTGATCAAAGATATCCCAGAATAATGACACACCTTGCTAGTCCATCGCCTACAACAATATGTACCATCCTGTTTTTACTGTAGAACGAATAAAATTATGTTTTTCTTTTTGTTTTATATTTAAATAGGAGGATCAGTTTTTTGGCGAACGTCTCAGGTAAATTTGGTGAAGATTTGATAAGGACTTTCGGAGACAAAGATTATAAATCTTCAATTACAAACATTATACATTAATCCATATATTGGATTTGATTGTTTTACAAAATATGGAAGAGAGAATGCAGACTACACAAGCACTTATTCATGTTAATATAGCTCTGAATCTGGTGCAAAAAAAGAAAAACTTATAAAATTCTCAAAAAATAAGAATCAAGTTCAATAAAATAAAACCACTACTCACTTATACTCTACTAACTACTTGGTGTTTTGTTTTCATTAAGTTGGTTTTTATTTTTGTATCGAATGCTCGTTGATGTCTTTTCCTAGAGAAAGTGTTGGAGAGCTTAAAAAAATTTAAAGGAGATTGGTCAAATTGGCCTAAATGCAAATAAAATATTGACATATACAGTAATTCTTGGCGTAATTTATACTTTATTTTACAGTCATTAGATTTTAACGGCCACCTTTAAATAATATATTAATTTTAAAAAAGGACTTCTATTTTTACCGGTTTGGAAAACATACGAATCATTTTTAATGGCTATGGGTGTAGTAACATTCACAAAGACTGATCGAGGTTGTTTATATAACATCAAAACAAATCTATTTTGTAAAGATTGATAAAATATATTTTTTTTTATTACACGGGTGGTATTAATATCCACAACTTTATTATCATTTTTACTACATGCAAATGTGCTAAGACAATTAATATAGATGGTAGGCGACATCTTAAAGTCTGTTGCCGTACATTTTTTGCCAAACACCTAAATAAACACATTATAAGGTGTGACACACTAAAAATCTAAAATATGGTTATAATAAAAACATAACAAAAATAATGAAGCTGCTGAAGATATGGCTGTATAACCTACAGCTCTTAGCTTTCTTTGATTAACGAGAGTTTAAAAATTCTCTCTAATCTGTGGCTCATTCACAATCATCACACAGTTTCTGTTCGTGTTTTTAAAAACATGCACATTTTTTTTCTAGTTATATTTTCTTTAGATTTAAACATGCACATATCTGTTATTTTACATGCTCTATATACCTGAATCTAATACATAATATCAGTACTTGGCTTGATTGCCCTATTTTCCTATATAAGTTATTTGGTTTTTATTATTCTAATACCTATGTGCCTATTTGCAAACATAACCTCAAAATCATTCAGTGTATATGGTTTATAGAAGTTCTCAGGAGTGGCCGTCGATAATATTCGTTTCTACGGTAATTTATATATAATTTCGAATGTAGGAAACAATTTTTCATGGTTATTGGTTTTTAGGCCAAACATGTATGGAAGCTGAGCAATCTCCTTTGAAATTTGACCACCTTGCTAGATGATGAAATTGCTTTAGAGATAAGTTTTAAGTCGTGTATATGGTTCATTCTCATTCGAAATAAAATCATGAGAATAAGTGAAGGCGGTACACTTAAACGTCTGTATTGTGATGGAAACCAAATAAAAATTGTAATTGTAATTGTAACGCTTATAAAACAAAACCTGAGATAAAACCATATTTTAACCACACTATCAGGTTTTTAACTGACGAAGTAAATTATATTTGTATTATAAATTTTAGATTTGTAATATCGTGTCTCATTAAAATATTTGTATCTATGTGGTACTTAACGCAACTGTAGGTAAGTATAACATTGAATTTATTCAGGTTGTTTCTCCAAAATTTTGGTTTGAAGTTTTCATGGTAAATCAAAGAAAAAACATCGAGCACTAATATGCTATTCATTTAATTTTAATTTATTAATATGTTAATACAAATCACGATACTCATCGCTGTTTTATCTCAATATTGACTGTTATTTTTTTATTTGTGACAACTGATCCTAATGTACGAGTAAGTCTTTAGCTAAAATTTTATGGATAACAGAAATACGTAGGTACCAGAAACTTCTGAACACGTGATAATATAGTTTATCAGCATTGGAAACGTGGGATGTAATAATGCCAGTGACAGTAACGGTTATTGAATTCTCTCGTAAGTAGTTAGATCATCATTAAAAGTAAAGGTACTTGTCAGTTCTTAATGTATGTAATAATAGGTAAAATACTATGAGATGAGAAGAAAATATGTTTAATTCCGACTTCAAACTAAATTCAGTCAACTAAAGCAGTCTCCCCTTTTCTTCTGTATAGCGTGTTTATTTTAGGTTTAAAGAATCATGTCACAATAAGAGGGCACATTGTCTTTTTATACTTGAGTTTTGTGCCCGAGGTAAGGCTAATGTTAAAATATAAATAAGAATGAACATGGTTTTAGTTTTTTTTTACTTTTTAGTACACTTTGCACTAAATCTAAAAATCTAAAATCAAATAAAGGTCATCTGTTAATTCTCTAAAGTTAAATGGAAAAGGCTTAATATCCCGTTTTGTTCGTGGTACCACCAGTTTGTACCACTGCCTGCTGGGAAAACTTCACAAACAATTTATAATGTTAAAATTATAACAAGCAATGGGTGCAACCCTCTTATTGGTATGCGGCCACCATAGTCGATAACTCGCCGAGCACTAGTTACCTTAGGTACTCATCCATAGAAAAACAACACCATCAAAAGGTCATCATCAGCAGCCTATTAATGTCCCCACTGCTGGGGCACAGGCCTTCCCTATGGATGGAATAGGGAGATTGGGCCATGACCCACCACGCGGGCCCAGTGCGGATTGGCGGGTGCTAACGACTGCAGATGCAGCCGGGACCAACGACTTAACGTGCCTTCCGAAGCACGGAGGAACTCGAGATAGAAGATATTTGGTCACCCATCCAATGACCGACCACTGCGAAAGTTGCTTAAATTCAACGATCACAGCCGAACGCGCTAACCACCTGCGCCATCGAGCTCCTCCATCAAAAGGTAGTTAGTGCTATTTTACTGTATCTTCTGTATACGATGCAGGTTACTTTGTATCACATGCTGTTTTCTCCTGTCTTTTAATCCAGTTAATAGGCTTTTTCTGAGTTATGAATACAAGTTTAGATAAACGATTGTATTTTCTCTACACATTAAACATTCTTGTCTATTATATGGTGATTGTTTGCGAATGGTCTACTGATGTGCAATTTTTAGAAGGAAATGCTATTAAGTTGGCTTAATTAGCTTACGTTAAGTAGTAAGTATTTCTCGCGTTTACTTTATTATAAGATGGTGGAAAACAATAGATTTCGTGTTTGAGAAGTTTGGGACAGCTACTCTGACTCCATTTCCTACTCAGTGAAGATCTTTGGTGATATTGTTTATTGCAAGAATAGGAAAATGATTTTGGTGGCAGTCTTTTGTAAGTTATAGGATAATTCTCTGGGCGATAATTACAATGTTTCAATAATGAAAAAAAAATGACAGCCCTGTCAGGACATGAGCTGAAAATATTTTAAAGCCTAAAAATATTAATTGTCTCTTTTTTGGAAAAAGTAGCCCGATTCATAATAGCTCATAGCTGGTACTTTGTCCCTGCATATGGGCAAGCTGAGTCTCATCGCATGTGAATAGCCGTATAA